TAAAAAAAAAAAAAAAAAAAGAAAAAGAAAAAAGAAAAAAAGAGTTTGCAAACCACTGAAATTTTGGGTGTTCTTAGAGTGGGGTACATGAACCCCTTTGTGGGGAACAATTTTAGGCAAAAGTATGCACATGGGTACATTTCCGTGGGAAGAGGTCCATAATTTTCTTTTTTTCTTTTCTTTTTTTGAGACAGAGTTTCACTCTTATTGCCCAGGATGGAGTTCAATGGCACGGTCTCGGCTACTGCAACTTCCTCATCCTGGGTTCAAGTGATTCTTCTGCTTCAGCCACCTGAATAACTGGGATTATAGGCATGTGCCACCATGATCAGCTAATTTTGCATTTTTAGTAGAGATAGGATTTCTCCATGTTGGTCAGGCTGGTCTTGAACTCCCGACCTCAGGTGATCTGCCTGCCTCGGCCTCCCAAAGTGTTGGGATTACAGGTGTGAGACACTGCCCGGCAAAGGTCCATAATTTTCATTGTATATTCAAAGGGATCTGTGACCTATAAAAGTAAAGAGCTGCTGATGTAGTTCATGCCCCTGCTGTCCTGCCTGCCCATTTTATAGAAGTTCAGAAAGGGGAAGGGGCTTGCTAGAGGTGGTGCAGGTGAGCAGAAGAACCGGGGCAAAATCTGGGCTCTAGGCTCTCGGTCAGCCATGCGGAGCTCCCCTCCGGCTCCCTGTCTTTCTTGTGAACCCAATGCTGTGTAGAGCCTGGGGTGGGGGCCATAGAAGGAGACAGTCCCATCTCTGGGGTGGCTGGGAGCAGCAGTCATTTCTGAGTTTACTACAGCCTCATCAATACTGGTGGTGGGAAGAGGATTTCTAGCTTCTAGGAACACAACACAAACCCCATAGGCAATCTCTTCCGGGTATTGGAGTTTGGTCTCAACTGCTCACCTGAGTTCCCACTTACTGACACATGCCATGTGCCAGGCACTTGGGGCAGGAATTTACAAACAGCAACTTTGGGAGGTAGGTAATGTCCTACTGCCATCTGAGGCAGCTGAGGCTCAGAGAGACCAGGGCACTGGATCAGGAAACAGCCATGTTGCATTCAAACCTAGGTTTGTCTGACTCCAAGGACAGGGTGGTCTTTGGCTTTGGCTGCATAGCCCCAGGCCAAGAACTACCTCGGGAAATACAATTAGTTCTCTGGGGCAAATTCCCACCAGGCTGCCACCTGCTCTGCTTTCCTAGAGAAGAAAATATCCCAGGGACACTTCAAACAGCAAACAGGGACACCCCGATGACCGAGAAGACAACTCACAGTACAGGTGGATGGCCACTCCCAGGGACACCAGCAGAACCAGGACGCCAGCCACCAGCAGGCTGAGGGTGATGGGGCTACAAAGTGGGCCTGGAAAAAAACATGTGACATGTGTTCAATACTGAACATTTTTTTGCATGAGACACGTAGAAAAATACAAGGAGGGAAAAATCAACTGGAAGCCCCACCTCCCAGAGAATACCACCATTTGCATTTTGATGTAATGTATTTTTCCTCAAGTCTTTTTTTTTTTCTTTTTTTGAGACAGAGTCTCGCTCTGTCACCCAGGCTGGAGTGCAGTGGCGTGTTCTCGGCTCGCTGCAACCTCTGTCTCCCGGCCTCAAGCAATTCTCTTCCTTGGCCTCCCGGGTAGCTGGGATACAGGTGTGTGCCACTGTGCCCGGATAATTTTTGTATTTTTAGTAGAGACAGGGGTTTTACCATGTTGGCCAGGCTGGTCTCAAACTCCCGGCCTCAAGTGATCCACCCGCCTCAGCCTCACAAAGTGCTGGGATTACAGGCATGCGCCACTGTGCACGGGTCTAGTCTTTGTATGCACTTTAAATATCTTTGAGATTTTTTTTTTTTTTTTTTAAATAAGACAGGGTTTCACCGTGTTGGTCAGGCTGGTCTTGAACTCCCGACCTCAGGTGATCTGCCCACCTTGGCCTCCAAAGTGCTTGGATTACAGGCTTGAGCCACCACGCCTGACCAAGATCATTTTATATATAAAATGTCATGTCCTACATCCATATTTTTAAGAAGTAGACAATTTTCATGCCTGGTAATGAGACTTTTACTATTTATTTTAAGAACTTTTAATTTCACAAGAAATAGCTGAATATATTTTCATTCTAAGAGATTTAAATATAGGATTAGAGTGCTCGTTGACATCTTTGCTCCTTCACAGAATTAATCACCATTGATAATTTAGTAACTTTCTCTTTGCATGCCTATGTAATTTTTATAGATTATATTATACTTTTTGTTTGTTTGTTTTGTTTTTCAGATAGAGCCTCACTCTGTCACCCAGACTGGAATGCAGATCTTGGCTCACTGCAACCTCTACCTCCTGGGTTCAAGCAATTCTCCTGCCTCAGCCTCCTGAGTATCTAGGATTACAGGCACCCACCATCATGCCCGGTTAATTTTTGTATTTTTAGTAGAGACAGGGTTTCACCACGTCGGCCAGGCTGGCCTTGATCTCCTGACCTCATGATCAGCTTGCCTCGGCCTCCCAAAGTGTTGGGATTATAGGCGTGAGCCACTACACCTGGCCTTAGATACGTATAGTTTTAAAAAACATATACAGCGGGTTATACTGAACAAATTGTTCTTTCGTACCTTCACTTTTTCAACGTGCCTTTATTCCTTCACTTAACCAATATGTTCTTTTTTGCAGCAGAGTAACATCTGACAGTATGAATGTGCCGTGAGTTACAGTCATCAATGGGCATTTTGATTGTTTCCTGTGTTTTACTTTTACAAATAACTCTGCAGAAAACATTCTGTATATTTCCTTACAAAGGTGAATTCCTGAGGCAAATACTGAGAACAGGAACTACTAAAACCATAGACTTTGTCCACTTTAAGTTGTGACAAATTCTGGCAAATGCCTTCCGAAAAGGTGGCACTGATTTCCGTCCCCACCCACCAATAGTGCACCCTGCTGACACTTGATACCATGAAAGTGTTTTAGTGTTTGCCAGTCAATCGGGGGAAAATGCTATTTCACTTAAATTCCCTAATTACTTATGAGCTTTGGCCTATTTTTATATATTGGCCACTTGTATGATTTTTCTTCTACGAGTTGACTATCTGTTCCTTTGTCCAGTTAGTGTGCTATTTAAACAGCTGACTTTACACTATCAATGCCCCAAATTATTCTCTGACACACTTCAGGCCCCTGTGACTGGTCCCTTGAGTAGCTGAGGGGCAGAGCCAGAGTCCACGGGTGAAAGGGCAAGGCTGCAAATTTGGGCTTGAGGTTCAGAAAATCGAATGGATGTCAAGGAATGGAGAGAATTTTTACTGAATACATATGTGCTAAGTACATACTAAATGCGAACTTCCATCTTGTGAGGAAGAAAGATATTGCCATTTTATTTATTTATTTATTTATTTGAGATGGAGTTTTGCTCTTGTTACCCAGGCTGGAGTGCAATGGTGAGATCTGGGCTCACTGCAACCTCCACCTCCTGGGTTCAAGTGATTCTCCTGCCTCAGCCTCCCTAGTAGCTAGGATTACAGGCGCCTGCCACCACGCCCAGCTAATTTTTGTATTTTTAGTAGAGACAGGGTTTCCCAATGTTGGCCAGGCTGGTCTCGAACTCCTGATCTTACATAATCTGCCTGCTTTGGCCTCCCAAAGTGCTGGGATTACAAGCATGAGCCACCATGCCCGGCTTGCCATTATTTTTCTCTCATTTCATAGTTCAAAAAAAAAAACACACGTAAGATTCAAAGAGATTAAATTATATGCCCAAGGTCACCCAGCTACTAAAAGGCAGGACCAGGGTGTGGACACAGATCCTCTGAGTTCCAAGCCCCTGCAGGTCCCACCTCAGCTGCATGAAGGCATGAGCGGTATAAGGGAAGGGAGCAGGCTACGTGGGAGGGAGCTCACTGTCACTGGAGGGGAACAAGCCAAGACTGGATGGCTGGGGTGTGGAGAAGATTCACATACTGGGTGGGAGGCTGGATGAGCGGCCCTTCTGAGATGCTGAGGGCATCTGTTGGGCTCAGTCTCACCTCCTATTTGTTCTCCCAACCTGAATGAACCTCAAAACATGGTGCTAAGTGAAAGAAGCCAAGCCTAAAAGACCCCATGGTGTACGATTCCACTTCTGTGAAATGTCCCAGAGAGGCCAATCTACAGAGGCAGAAGATAGATTAGTGGCTGCACAGGGAATCTTACTGGGGTGATGGAAACCTTCTAAAACTAGATTACGGTATTGATTGCACAACTCAGTAAATTTACCCAAAATCATTAAGTTTGTATGCTTAAAATGGGTGAACTTTGTGGCATGCAAATTATATCTCAACTAAATTTTTAAAAACTGTAATGGAGGTGGGTGCAGGTTGCAGGGACGTACAGAGCAGCAGGGCTCCCTCCTGAGGAGAGGTCATGGTTAAGAACACTGTGGAGGCCAGGTGCGGTGGCTCACGCCTGTAATCCCAGCACTTTGGGAGGCCGAGGCGGGTGGACCACGAGGTCAAGAGATCGAGACCATCCTGGTCAACAAGGTGAAACCCCGTCTCTACTAAAAATACAAAAATTAGCTGGGCGTGGTGGTGCGTGCCTGTAGTCCCAGCTACTCGGGAGGCTGAGGCAGGAGAATTGCCTGAACCCAGGAGGCAGAGGTTGCAGTGAACCGAGATCGTGCCATTGCACTCTAGCTACAGGTCTCCTCTGAAGCACTGTCTCCCATCCAAAATGTGGCTCTCCAGGAAAAGCTGCTGCCACAAATAACGTGCTTGGGTAAGGGACCATTGGCCAGAGGCACACCAGCGACACCCCCAGCCCAGCCTTCCTTATCGTGCTATCTCCTGAGCTCTGGATTGCAGCAACCTGCTCCCGAGTCAGTGGTTTAGAAATTGTCCCCCAGCACTTAAGGGTGTTGTGTCAGGAACAGCCCTAAGCCCCAGGGGCAGCCCCTTCTCAGTGGCCCCATCATTCATGATAACAGGCTCTGAGGTCTGTGTGGATGCCCCATAAACTCTGAGTGCCTGCTGTATGATTGCATCTCATTTAATCCTGTGTCCCCTTTAGTTGGGTAAGCATCATCATTTTACAGATGAGGAAACTGAGTTTAGAGAGGCTGAATCACCTATTCAATGTCTCATGGTACAGGCAGTGGTAGACAGAGATTCAGACCTAGGCCTGACTGACTTGCCACTAGACTACACTGACCCAGGGCTGGTCTCCTCAGAACAACCTCCACCCACTTTCCTCACACCCATTCCCAGCCCCATGCCACTTGCCCACCTTCACACACATCCGGGTTATTCTTAATAACCTGTTAATGTTTGGTTTGCATTTTGCCTTGGGATTTTACTGAGAGTTGGTATAAGAAATGATGCAAGAGGTGGGGTACCGTGGCTCATATCTGTAATCCTAGCACTTTGGGAGGCTGAGGTGGGTGGATCACCTGAGGTCAGGAATTCAAGACCAGCCTGGCTAACGTGGTGAAACCCCATTTCCACTAAAAATACAAAAATTAGCTGGGCATGATGGCGGGTGCCTGTAATCCCAGCTACTCGGGAGGCTGAGGCAGGAAAATCACTTGAACCCAGGAGGTAGAGGCTGCAGTGAGCCAAGATCATGCCACTGTACTCCAGCCTGGGCAACAGAGAGAGACTCTGTCTCAAAAAAAAAAAAAAAAAAAAAAAGAAAGAAAGAAAGAAAGAAATGATTCAAGAAATCTGAAGACCTTTGTTTTCCTCATGAGTTATAAAAGTACAACTGAGTTTGCCGTCAGTCAGCGGTCCTTACATGAAGATGAACAGAGCGGATTGCGCCTAGAGTTTAGCACTAGGATGAAGGTTTCTTCGTGTGGTGCCAGGTTGTTTCTTTCTATCAGCAGGGCTGGGGTGCCATACAACTTGGGGTCTTCCCTTTGTTTAAACTGATGTTGCTGGGTTCTCCAGAGCTGCAGCACACAGCCAGTGTTTGCACCCTCATCTCATTGGCCCTATTGTATTTGCACTTTATATCCTTTTCATTGTAGCCTGCCTGATATCCTTTAGGTGAAGGGGTTAGGGCATGGGACTTTGTAAAACAAGGTCACTCTTAAACTTTGTAAGACTTTACCCTTCTGTGCGCTGGTTCCGATTTTCCTTTACTGTGACCTCATGTGGCAGCAGCTTCCCACCCAGGTCTCCAGATCCTATTTGGTACCCTCCTCGATGCTTTCTGGTAGTTAAAATATTTAACACAAAGCAAACCGAGCACACGAGGCAGCGCTCGTGGAACTGCTTGTGGTTTGTTCTCTGGGTAGCAGCAGATGGTACTTTCTGTTTGTCACCAGTGACTTTTGCTGTGCTGAGAGCAGTATTTTTCCAGAAACACATTTGGACTGATGGGTTTAAGGAAAGAAAGTGTGTGTGCTGGGAGGGGTCGGGGGGCATGTGTCTCTGTGTGTGTGTGTGTGTGTGTGTGTGTGTGTGTGTGTACATTCCAGCCGAGGTGTCTGGCATAGGATAGAGAAGCAAAAGCGTAACCCCTCACTGCTAAATTTGACAGACTTAAAAAATTAATTAATTAATTAATTTTAAAAAAAGAGAAGCAAATGCGTTCATTTGCAAACAAACATGCACTCATTAACAAGCACATACTGTGTACCAGGTCCTCTGTTAGGTAGTAAAACTGGTAGCTTTTTTTTTTTGAGACAGGGTCTGGCTCTGTCACCCAGGCTGGAGTGCAGTGGCAGGATCTCGGCTCACTTCAATCTCCATCTCCCAGGCTCAAGGCATCTGCCTCAGCCTCCTGAGTAGCTGGGACTGCAGGCTTGTGCCACCACGCCCAGCTAATTTTTTTATATCTTCATAGAGACAGAGTTTCACCATGTTGCACAGGCTGGTCTCTAACTCCTGTCTTCATGGCAATCCACCTGTCTTGGCCTCCCAAAATGCAGGGATTACAAGTGTGAGCCACCACGTCTGGCCAAAACCGGAAACATTTAAAGTGCTCGTCCTTTGAGTGGATTTTTTGTTTGTTAATAGCTTTATTGAGTTATAATTTACATATAATGTCCCCCTGTTTAAAGTGTACAATGTCATGATTTTTAGTGCATTCATGAAGTTGTGCAACCATTACCATAATGTAATTTTATTTTTATTTTTTATTTTTTTGAGAAGGGGTTTCACCATGTTGGTCAGACTGGCCTTAAACTCCTGACCTCAGGTAATCCACCCGCCTTGGCCTCCCAAAGTGCTGGGATTATAGGCGTGAGCTACTGCGCCCAGCCACCATAATGTAATTTTAAACGTTTGAATTCCCTTAAAAAGAAACCATATACCCATTAGGAATCACTCCCCATTTATTTCCCAAGCCCCTAGCCTTAGGCAGCCACCAATCTACTTTCTGTCTCTACAGAGGGTCATATGCTGGACATTCTGTCAACATGGAATCATATAATATACAGGTTTTTGTGACTGGCTTCTTTTACTTTACTCTTTAATATGGCCAAATAATATTCCATGATAATAAATATACCACACTTTGTTAATCTACTCATTATCTGGTGGATGTTTGGGTAGTTTCCACTTTGAGCTACTATGAATAATGAAGCTGTGGACATTTGTGTGCAGGTGTGTGGGTGGACATCTCCACCATTAAGCTTTGTCTAGTGACACGTTACAAGTCTGTCTCCCATGAGACTGTGAACTGCTGTCACACTCAGTATCCTTTCTGACCCTAGCTCGGGCCGGGGAGATAGGCCCTAGTGTCCACATTTGGCAAGTACCTGGGGAAGGAAGGAGGGGAGGGAGGGAAGGCAGGAGGATGTCTGCCTTGCTTCTGAGGGTGCGGAGGGTTAGGGAACTCACCCTTCCGGATCGCTGGACTGGGTAATCGGCACACTGTCTTCTTGGGGGTGGACTTCTTGGTGGGCTGGGCAGTGGTAGGAAGTATATCAACTACAGAAAGAAAGCAAGACACACATCTTAGCCAGGCCAACACCAATTGGATTCAGAGACAAAACTCTGTCTTATGGCTGGGAGCGGTGGCTCATGCCTGGATTTCCAACACTTCCAGAGGCCAAGGCAGGAGATCACTTGAGCCTAGGAGGTTAAGACCAGCCTGGGCAACCTGGTGAAACTGCCTCTCTACAAAAAATAAAAACGTTCAGCCAGGCGTGGTGGCATATGCCTGCAGTCCCAGCTACCCAGGAGGCTGAGGCGGGAGGATTACCTGAGCGCAGGAGGTCAAGGCTGAAGTGAGCTGTGATCGTGCAACTGCACTCCAGCCTGGGCAACAGAGCAAGACCCTGTCTCAAGGACAAATGAGAGAACAAACAAACAAAATTTGTCTTACATCCAAGTACTGAAGTCCTTATGACTGTTCCCCAGGCTGCCACAGGGCTTCAAGGTCACAGAGCAATAGCATGTTTGATTTGCTTTCTCAATTCTCAGATGTTGAGAAATGGGTGGGGGCCTGGGGATGAGGTTCAGCTTGGTGTCCTGGAGAGAGGAAGGCTCTGGGGCCACACAGACCTGAGCAGAGCCTACACCCCTGATTTTCTTTTCTTTTTTCTTTGAGACAGTGTCTCGTTCTGTAGCCAAGGCTGGAGTACACTGGCATGATCTTGGCTCACTGCAGCCTCCGCCTCCTGGGTTCAAGCAATTCTCCTGCCTCAGCCTCCAAAGTAGCTGGGATTACAGGTGTGTGCCACCTCACCTGGCGAATTTTTTGTATTTTTAGTAGAGACAGGGTTTCACCGTGTTGGCCAGGCTGGTCTTGAACTCCTGACCACAGTTAATCCACCTACCTCAGCCTCCCAAAGTGCTAGGATTACAGACGTAAGCCACCGTGCCTGGCCAACTTACACCCCTGCTTAACCACTATGTGACTTGGGACAAGTCATAGCACTTTTCTCTGCCTCAATTTTCCCATCTGCTGAAATAAAGATAACTGCCACCTCCTTCTTGGGATTATCATGAGAATTAAAGGGACAGTGTGTCCAAAAAATGGTTCAGTAGACGTGGCTCCACCTGGATGAAGACCTTGAGCCCCAGGGCTAGATCGTCCAGCCCTTGGCACAACCAGCCCCTCCACCCAACTTGGCAATCCCTAAGTACATGGAGGAAGCTCATGGAAGGGAGGGGTGCCGTTTTCTGCATGTATAGTACCACGCAGGTGTCATATTTGGGGGTTTGTTTTCCTTCTCAGGTGGCCCAAAAATATATATATAATATCAGAGCTACGGGAACCTCAGTCTCAAACTTTAATTTCAAAGTTGAATGCCAGAGTTGAAATTTCAAAGGTGAATGCCGGAGAAGAGCTGTCCCTGCTGCCCCAAGTAGTGAGGGACCCCACACCCCCGTCCTGACCCGTGGGTGGGTCACTCCTCGCCTTCATTCTAACCCAGTGAACCCTGCTGAAGTGTTGGGAGGGGGCCAGCACCCAGAGCAAAGGAAGACACCTGTGGCTTTGACGTCTGCTGGTGATGAGGGGGCACTGCCAGCCACAGAGTCCAACCCTTGCCTTTGTGGATTGAGGAAAAAGATCTCCCTGCACTGATTTTCTGCTAAATGGTAAGAGATGGACTAAGGGGACACCATCAACTTAAGTTCTAGAGTCAGGGGAACAGGAAAAAAAAGAAATAAAAGAAATTCTAAGGCCGGTGCAGTGGCTTACGCCTGTAATATCAGCACTTTGGGAGGCCGAGGCAGGCGAATCACCTGAAGTCAAGAGTCTAAGACCAGCCTGGCCAATATGGCGAAACCCTGTCACTACTAAAAACACAAAAATTAGCTGGGCATGGTGGTGTGTCCCTGTAATCCCAGCTACTTGGGAGGCTGAGGCAGGAGAGTTGCTTGAACCCGGGAGGCGGAGGTTGCAGTGAGCTGAGATGGCGCCACTGTACTCCAGCCAGGGCAACAGAGTGACTCTGCCTGAGAAAAAAGAGGGGGTGGAGACAGGCAGGGGCAGCCCGCAGATCAGTCATTTTTGGGCTGGCATCTTCTGTGTAAAAGTAGACATTTTAGTCCCTCACCTCTCTGAGCGTCACCTCTCTGGAAAGCAGAGAGAACACGATCTGTGTGTCTGCTTCAAGACGCTAATGGGAAGGAGCAACCAGAATGAACATGCACGAAGCTCCAGCCATGTGCGGGGAGCAGTGCTGAGCCCTTCAGCATAAGTTTACTGAACACAACAACTTTTGGGGCAGGTACTGTTGTCCCCATTTTATCCAGGAGGAAGCCTAGGCTCAGAGAGCTGAAATCATGTGCCCAAACTTAGCCACTGGCTGCAGAGCCAGGATCTGCACCAAAAGGCCTTGATTCTAGGACCCGTGCTTCTCGTTCTGCCATACTACCTCATGTGCAAAGGTTTTCCAACAAAAAGTTGAATACTTTAAGTCCATCCAAGGCCCTCAGTCATCAGAGTGCCGAGGCCAACTATTGTAAGAGGAAAACTGTCATCAGTAGGGTCCTGGAGAGCATGCAGGGAGCCTGGCCCTCTGCTGGGTGTGTTACCTCCTTCAATCCTCATGGCCCTAGAAGTAGTTCTGTTTGACTTATTTTCTACTCCAGGAAGCGGGGACGCTCTACTCTCTCAGCTGGTCTGTGGTCAGCCTAGAGGGAAGCCAGCTCTTTGGGCCCTCAGTACCTTGGCTGGACACCACAGCCTGGGTCTGGTGGGGGACTCAGGTGGGAGACTGTTCTGTTTTAATTTCTTCTTGCCTAGAGCCAGGTCCCCTGGATTCCTCTTGAACCCCCAGTTTAATCTCTCCCTGTCTGTACTTAAATGGAACAAAACTAGGCTGGGCGCAATGGCTCACGCCTGTAATCCTAGCACTTTGGGAGGCAAAGGCAGGCGTATCACAAGGTCAGGAGATTGAGACCATCCTGGCTAATACAGTGAAACCCTGTCTCTACTAAAACTACAAAAAATTAGCCGGGCATGGTGGCACATGCCTGTAGTCCCAGCTACTCGGGAGGCTGAGGCAGGAGAATCACTTGAACCTGGGAGGTGGAGATTGCAGTGAGCCAAAATTGCGCCACTGCACTCCAGCCTGGGCAACAGAGCGACACTCCATGTCAAAAAAAAAAAAAAAAAAAAAAAAAAAAAAGGCTGGGCGTGGTGGCTCAGGCCTGTAATGCCAGCACTTTGTGATCAGCACTCCTGATCACAAGGTCAGGAGTTCAAAATCAGCCTGGCCAAAATGGTGAAACCCGTCTCTACTAAAAAAAAATACAAAAAATTTAGCCAGATGTGGTGGCAGGTGCCTGTAATCCCAGCTACTCAGGAGGCTGATGCAGAGAATTGCTTGAACCTGGGAGGCGGAGATTGCAGTGAGCCAAGATTGTGCCCTTGTACTCCAACCTGGGCACAGAGTGAGACTCTGTCTCAAACAAACAAACAAAAAAAAGATTAACTGGGCACGGTGGCTCACGCCTGTAATCCTAGCCCTTTGGGAGGCTGAAGTGGGTGGATCACTTGAGGTCAGAGTTCAAGACCAGCCTGGGCAACACATTGAAACCCCATCTCTACTAAAATACAAAAAATTAGCCTGGTGTGATGGTGTGTGCCTGTAATCTCAGCTACTCGGGAGGCTGAGTCAGGAGAATTGCTAGAATCTGAGAGGCGGAGGTTGCAGTGAGCCAAGATTGTGCCATTGCACTCCAGCCTGGGCGACAGAGCAAGACTCCATCTAAATAAATAAATGTAACAAAACTTTGAGGCCGTGATATACTTAAGGGCCTGAAAAAGGCCCTGTCATCGGCCGGGCGCTGTGGCTCACGCCTGTAATCCCAGCACTTTGGGAGGCCTAGGCGGGTGGATCACGAGGTCAAGAGATCGAGACCATCCTGGTCAACATGGTGAAACCCCGTCTCTACTAAAAATACAAAAAATTAGCTGGGCATGGTGGCGCGTGCCTGTAATCCCAGCTACTCAGGAGGCTGAGGCAGGAGAATTGCCTGAACCCAGGAGGCGGAGGTTGCGGTGAGCCGAGATCGCGCCATTGCACTCCAGCCTGGGTAACAAGAGCGAAACTCCGTCTCAAAAAAAAAAAAAAAAAAAAAAAAAAAGAAAAAGGCCCTGTCTTTCTCAAAAGACTTTCTCAACCATCCCAGCTTCCTCCTCTAAAAGGCCTTTCTTGGATGAGAAGGTGGGTTCTGGCTCTGAAGCAGGTTTGGTTACAAGCCCTGAGGAGACGCAGGTCTGGTCGCAAGCCCTGGGGAGAAGCAGGTCTGCTTGCAAGCCCGCGCTGTAGGGAGGCATTGCTATTCCTGCGGTGCTGGGAGGGGTCTGGGGTTTGGAAACACAGAAGCCAGAAGTGAGTGGAATTGGGTGGAGGTGGTGGACAGCTCTAGAAACGAGCTGTGCTTATTCCACCCTCCACCTTCTCAGACGCTGAAATCTCATGAGTAGAAAGGTGTGGGGCTTACAGAGACAAAAACAGTCAGCCAAACCCAAACCCCAAACCCCAAATTCCTGAAGCCCATTTTTCAATACAAAAATCAGTGGACCTGCCACGAGAAGGGATGCTTCGGCTTCTTGCCTGCAATACTCCCTCCCAGGTTGGCAAGAGGTGGTGGGGCATTGCTTTGGTTTGTGTCTTCCTAATCATGCCACTGTCCCCTGCTGCCTCTGCACTTCCTCACGCTGAGTGGTCTAATTTCTGGGTCTAATTCCTCGTGGCTTTTAGTGCCTTCAGGTGAGCAGGAAGCAGGGCAGTGGGAGCCCAGCAAGGGGTTGCACCCACCCCCGTGGGGCTAAAGCCAAAGCCAGGCTATGAGGGTTACTGCCACAATCCCTCCCCACCCATAGCTAAATGCCTTCTGTCCAATACCGTGGCTACTTGCCACAGGTGCTGCTGAGCACGTGAAATGTGGCCAGTCTCATTCGACATGGGCCGTATGTTTTATATAAAATGCTCATCGAACACTTGGTATGAAAAATGAATGTAAAATATTTCAGCAATAATTATATTGGTTACATGTTGAAGTGAAAATATAGTTAATAAGTTAAATAAAATATATTATTTAAATTAATTTTACTTGCTTCTTTTTGTTTTTTTAAACATGACTTAAAAATTTTAGAATTTTATCTTGGCTGGAAATATGTGTCTGCTGGACTTGCTGATTTAAGTTACGGGTCTTCAGCTTCTCTGGGATTAAGTGGGTCATGGGGGCCATCAGCAGCCCCATGACACAGAAGAGAACATGAGGTCACCTGTCCCTCCACTGCCCCTAGAAATGCTCTCACTGGGTATGTCAGGGCAGTGAGGGCCTCCTTTCCCTGTGTGCACACTCTGTGGGGATTTCTAACACCAAAGGCCAGGGGACTCAGCCCAATCCAGCTGTAGCTACAGATGTCCCTGATGTGGCCTGAAGGGCAGCACTGCCCTGTCCCCATAAGAAGCATGATGCCTGCCCTGGCACGGTGGCTCACACCTGTAATCCCAGCACTTTGGGAGGCTAAGGCGGGTGGATCATTTGAGGTCAGGAGTTGGAGACCAGCCTGGCCAACATGGTGTAATCTCTTCCCCACTAAAAAACTGAAAAACTGGCTGGGCGCGGTGGCTCACGCTTGTAATCCCAGCACTCTGGGAGGCTGAGGCAGGCAGATCACGAGGTCAGAAGTTTGAGACCAGCCTGGCCAACACAGTGAAACCCCATCTGTACTAAAAATACGAAAATTAGCAGGGCCTGCTGGTGGGCACCTGTAATCCCAGCTACTTGGGAGACTGAGGCAGGAAAATCACTTGAACCCAGGAGGCAGAGGTGACAGTGAGCGGAGATCGTACCACTGCATTCCAGCCTGAGCGACAGAGCTAGACTCTGTCTCAAAAATAATAATTATTATTATCTGGGTGTTGTGGTGCAGGCCTGTAATCCTAGCTACTCAGGAAGCTGAGGCAGGAGAATCACTTGAACCTGGGAGGTGGAGGCTGCAGTGAGCCAAGATCGCATCACTGCACTCCAGCCTGGGGAACAGAGCAAAGCTCTGTCTCAAAAACAAACAAACAAACAAAAAAAGCATAATGCCTATCTCCACCTCTGACCTCTCTCTTCCATTTTCACCTCATTCCCATCTGAAGTGGTTAGGTAACAGACTGTCTTCCAGGGTGGATGGCAGCATTAAGCAAGCTAACTACATAAACACTTGGAGGTGCTTGGCTTGGGTAAGTCTCCATATGCACTTTCTGTTACTTTAGCAGCAGTGCTGTTAGTCACAGCTGCAGAGTGGGGCGCACTGAAGCATGGTGGTCCCAGTGCCTGGCACACAATCAGTGCTTAGTCCTCATTAATAACATTGAGCCTGCTTCTTACCCACACTCAGCTGAGTTCCCGTCCCGAAGGTCAGACTGGGGCTCCCGATGACCATGCAGAAGTAGACGCCACTGTCCTCCAGCGTCACTCTTGTGAGATTGAGATAGAACAAGCTTCCATCCCGAAACACAACTATCTTCTCCTGTTCCACCCCTTCACTGTGCATAGTCCCTTTTGAGGAATCCCAGAAGGCCAGGAACTCATGATGATTGTTACTGCTTGGGGGCTTGCGCTGTCTCAGCCAGTAGATGCGTGTGGTACTGGAGGAGATGACCCTGCAGGACAGTATCACCATTTGGTTGGTTTGCACCATTATGTATGCAGGGGTCTGCTGGAGGACTGAGCTGCCATGGAGAGCTAGGAGAAACCAAGAACAGAGACATCGTATATTTTCCCAGCCACACTGCGGGGCCTCACAGTCACACTGAGTCAAGTGTCAAAGGAAAAGCCTGGAAAACCTGCCCAGTTACTGGGTTCAGGGGCTGTGTTGAGCACAGCTGGTGGCTCCTAGGCTCAGGGTTCACATATCCCACCTCCCAGGAGATCATCTGGAAGGCAGGTGTTTGCTAAGTTCAGCTTTACAAAGGCACAAAGGAGAGAGCTGCCATTTGCTTATTGTGTATTTATATGTCTGGGCCTTGCATAAATAATCTCAATCTAGCCTCAAACCAACTTAGGAATTTTTTTTAAAGACACCGGTTCTTAAGGCCGGGCGCGGTGGCTCAAGCCTGTAATCCCAGCACTTTGGGAGGCCGAGACGGGTGGATCACGAGGTCAAGAGATCGAGACCATCCTGGTCAACACGGTGAAACCCCGTCTCTACTAAAAATACAAAAAACATTAGCTGGGCACGGTGGCGCATGCCTGTAATCCCAGCTACTCAGGAAGCTGAGGCAGGAGAATTGCCTGAACCCAGGAGGCGGAGGTTGCGGTGAGCCGAGATCGTGCCATTGCACTCCAGCCTCGGTAGCAAGAGTGAAACTCCGTCTCAAAAAAAAAAAGACACCGGTTCTTGTTACGTTGCCCAGGTTGGAGTGGAGTGGCTATTCACAGGCACTGTCGTAGTACACTGCAGCCTTGACCTCCTGGGCTCAATCTATCCTCCCACCTCAGCCTCCCAAGTAGCTGGGACTATAGGCATGCACCACCACACAAGGCTGGCTTCAGGACTATTAATCTTCATTACACAGATGAGGAAACTGAGGCATAAAGTTACTCGTTCAAAGTCCCACTTACAGTAAGTAAGTGGCCTAGGATTCAAACTCAAGGATTCAAAGTCTGAAGCCAAAGCTGGTTGCCTTTGACTTCCTCTGGCTGCCACTGGGGGTTTAACCCTTCAGTAGGCTACTAACTGCTGAAGGAGACCCAGGACAGGCTGGGAGAGGAACCCAGAATCACAGCAGAGCTCATGGCTGGTCTGTCCGTTGCTGGACAGTGAGGACAGACAGCAAAAAAGAGTTTACTATCCCATGGTAGGTACAATTACAGCCCATGACCCCTCAGCCCAGCAATTGATGGGTCACTGGATCCCCATTCCCCAGTGGAAGGACAGATACCCCAGAAGCAGGGCTGAGAGCTCATCTTAGACTCCAACGAGAAGCACCTTGCAAGCAGGGGCTTGTTCATGAGGAGCCAGAGCGGGACTCACAGACCTGGCCCTGAACCCACCCTCTGCCCATGCCTGCTATGAGACCTCAGGCCGGTCACTGAGCCTCTGTCTTCTTATGAAAGGAAGGCGACTTGGTGCTCTTGTCCTGACTGCCTCTGAGGGTTGGAAAGAAATGAAATGCTGTCCAAAAACGCACACTGCGAACTGTATGGCCACGTACACAGGTAAATACTGTCTGCGTGTCTCATACCACAGGGTTGTTACTGGAAGTAAATTAAATCTCAAGGAGAAGGATCAGAATGGGTTCCATTCACACCAAGGCTGCACAGCTTCCAACAAACACAATCTGACCTGGTGAGCTTTCATTTTGGCTGTGGAGGGGAGGGAGACATTGCAGGTCAGGGCAGAGACGCAGGAGTGGGGAGGCACAGAGAGGACCCAGACCTGGGCCGGCAGAGGAGGCCAGAGGGAGTGTTTGTGTGGCCGAGAGGAGCTGGCTTACTGAGCAGCTCATGTTTAAAATCCTGCCTGCACTTGTGGCTTAGACTCCGTGGCCCCATAATGGCTTTCTCCAACACTGATGAAATGAACTTCTACTTTTTAACTTGGCTCCTGGACCACTCCGAGCTTTCGCTTGCATCAAGAATGAAATGATGGGGATGGGTGTGGTGGCTCACGTTTGTAATCCTAGCACTTTGGGGGACTGAGGCAGGAGCATCACTTGGGCCCAGGATTTTGAGACCAGCCTGAGCAACATAGCGAGATCCTGTCACTTAAAAAAAATTATTAAAAAATAAACATATAAACAAGAAGGAAGTGATGCCTGAGCACAAGTGGCTGCTGGGCTTCCTCTTTTCTCCCCAAACACCACACTGCCTTTTCAGCAGAGCAGGGGTTTTTCCTTGTTTCTGGTCACTGACTTCTTGGGGGAGTCAATACGAATCAATAATGCCAGTTTATTGAACTGTGCATGGCATGGTGCTTACATTGTCTCATTTGATCCTCAGCAAATCCTGTGGGGGAGATACTGTTTTACACCCATTTTACCCATGAGAAAAGAGAGGCTCAGGGACCGGGCGCAGTGGCTCATGCCTGTAATTCCAGCACTTTGGGAGGCTGAGGCAGGTGGACCACAAGGTCAGGAGTTTGAGGTCAGCCTGGCCAATATGGTGAAACCCTGTCTCTACTAAAAATACAAAAAAAAATTAGCTGGCTGTGGTGGTGCATGCCTGTAACTCCAGCTACTCAGGAGGCTGAGGGAGAGTTGCTTGAACCTGGGAGGTGGAGGTTGCAGTGAGCCGAGATCGCACCATTGCACTCTAGCCTGAGTGACAGACTGACACTCTGTCTTGAAAGAAAGAAATAAAGAGAGAGAGAGAGAGAGAGAGAAAGAAAGAAAGAGAAAGAAAGAAGAAAAGAGAGGCTCAGAAAGGTTAAAGACCTGCTCAAGGTCACACAGCTGGTATGTGGTAGATTCAGATTCAAACCTAGCTCGTGGGACCCCAGAATCTGACTTTGAACCACTGAATTGAGGAAACCTGCAATCCTCTCCCAGATGGTGGTTATGTGCTTATGAGCACACAGTGGGGCTGCAAGTAAACAGATGCCTTAAGACCTTCCAAGAAAACCCAGAAGTGACTCCTCTAAGAGCAAGGCCTGGGCTGTGAGTGTGCATTTCCTGTCCTGGCTGAGGCACATCGGCTCTTCCCGGGGCCCACTTGCTTTTTGTCCTTTAGGGACTGAATACTCAGGGCCATGGCCAAGTCCCTGCTGTGCACTGGACAGGGAGACAGGCCTCACTGCATGTTGCCCTCTGTAACTCAGGGATTTCATTCTCAGAGGGACCTGTTTCTAGATCCACCGGTGGTGACTTTAGTGCTCTGGACTGCCTGGGCTCTTTCTACTTATGTGTGACATTGCACTCACTGGGACAGAGCCCCGGGCTGGCAGGCCTTGTCACCCCCTGGCAGGATGACCAGCTTTGGGCTTTTTGGGCACGAGAGCAAATCGACCAGTTTGGGCAGTTTTCCGGGTGTGTGGAGGCTTCTTCCAGAAGGCAGTCTGACTAGGCTTACTCAGAAGGACATTCTAGATGCTCCATTTCAACTCCAACAACCCAACCTCCAGGCTGCTTCCCAGAGAGCCACACTACCCATGACAGCCAACACCGGGAACATCAGGGAGAAGGGAGCCAGAGGGATCACCCTACCGAAGCCCTCCGAGAACTGGGAGGGCCCGATGCTTGTCAGATTGTACTACAAACACTTCCCCGGAAGTAATAAAAGGTGTCCCCAGGACCCTCGGCGTGCGCCAAAGGTGGGCTCCAAGACCAGAACTGAGCCCTGCACCTTCATGGGAACACATCCTGCGGGGACCCTAGGCAGGGACCTGTTTCCTTCCCCTCGGTACCTCTGGCGCCCCTCTCTTTCCTTCCCTCTCTCACTGCCTCCCCTTGTCCTGGGTCCAGGCTTTTGTGGGGAGGTGGCCTAAGCCTAAGTCCAGGGGCTCTCCGGTCCCCTGGATAATGCAATCGGGGGCATTTTATTTCCACCCTTACGGACGGTGCCTGCCAAGCCGCCTCCCTGGCGCCCCGCAGCCGCGCGTTCGGCGCTGCACCCTGCCAGGACCGTGGCCAGGACAGCCACTTCTCACCTCCCCGCTCAGGCCCCGGGAGCGCAGACCCTCGGTCAACCCGCGCGCCTCCCGCCTTACCTGCCAGCTGCGCTGCCAGGAGGAGCCACATCCGCGGCCGCATCGTGGCGCGCCCGGAACACCTGGCCCTGAGGGCTCGGCGGAGAGAGTCGCGGCTGGGGTGGGTGAGGAGCCCGGCCGGGTGGGGCGCCCCGGGTCGGGGAGCTTGTGGGGCAGTGGGGAGGGCGGGACCGGGCGCGGTGGGGGCGGGAGTCTGGTGTTAGGGACCGCGAGGTCTCCGCCCTCACCCTCCTCGCCTTGCAAAGGTCTTGGCTGCTTTTCCAGGGCCCACCAGGACCCTCCGCTTTCCTGAAAGGAGGTGACACAGCCGGCTTGCCCCAGGCAGCTCCATGTGTTCGATGGCCTCCTGCCCCGGGAGGTGCTCTGGAACGGGTTGTGACCCCGAGTGACAGTCGAGGCTCAGAGACGTCAGGATGCGGAGTGCATGGTGGAGCTGGCCCCTAACTTGTCTGTTTGAGTAGCTATTGAGGAACTCCTGGGTGCACTGGGCTGCGCTGGGCCTGAGTCATGAAGCTCCAAGCCTTGCCCCCCTTCGCCAGGGAGAAAGGAAAGGTAACCGGCTGTGACACTGAGGGAGGTGAGCTGGGAGCCTGGAGGTGCAGGAGGGGCCTGACCCTAGTTGTAGAGTGTGGGAGTGCAGCAAGACCTAGATCTTCAGAATTTAGAAGGACTGTGACGATCACCAGCTGCGCCCTGCCCGAGAGTGCCCGGGACCCGCTCTATCTGTGGTGTGATCCAGTCCTGGTGGGGGAGACTTGTGAGGGGAGACCTGGCTTGGTCTGTGTCTTCCTGTTTAAAGGGGGTTAGCAGAGAGGGGGTTGGGGAGGTCCAGGGAGAACTGGGTATGCGGCCTGCCGGGGAGATGGAGCCCATGGAGGGTGTGGGAGAGGCTCCTTGTAAATGTCAACGAAGACCCAGCCAGGCAAGCCCATGGTACCCTAAGAGCTTAGAGTTTATCGGAGAGGAAATGGCGTGTCCCCTGAGGTCTAAAGCAGGCAGCGGGGCAAGGACACTGTCATCTTTGGTTTCCACATTCAGTATTTTTGCCATCCCACTCCTGCCCCAGCCCCTCTGCCCTTTGCTGCTAACAGCACTGCTCATCGCTGAACTGGATGCAGAGCGTTCAAAGGCACTGGGGGAGAAGTCACTCAGCCCAGCCAGAGGTCAGAGTCTCCCTGGATACTGCCTTTGCTCCCAGGAGCAACTGTTGAGGTCTGGATGGACACAGGCCTAGGGAGACCACACACTAGTTTGAGCTCTTCTAAAAAATTGAGGTGAATATCACATAACACAAAATTAACCATTCAAAAGCATACAGTCCCGTGGTATTTAGTATATTCACAATGTTGTGCAAACACCACCTATATCTAGTTCTGAAATACTTTTATTTCCCCAAAAGAAATTCCTGCACCCTTAAGCAGTCATTCCCTATTGCCACACCTCTCCAGATCCTGGCAATGACTAATCTTCATTCTGTTCTCGGATTTACCTGTTCTGGGCATTTTGTGTAATGGACCCATGCAATATGTGCTCTTTGGTGGATGGCCTCTTTCACTTAGTGCAGTGTTTTTCAGGTTTATCCCCATTGCAGCACCATTCCTTCTTATTGTTGAGTAACATTTTGTTGTATGTATTTATATTGTACCACTTTTTGTTTATCTGTTCATCTACCGACGGACATTTGAGTGGGCTATTATGTCTACCTTTTCACTTTTGTGAGTAATGCTACTGTGAACATTCTTGTACAAATACATGTTTGGGTGCCTATTTTCAATTCCTTCAGGTACATTCTCAGGGAATGCAATGGCTGGGCCATACAAAATTCTATATTTAGCTTTTTAAAGGACTGTCCAACTGTTTTCTATAGCAGCTGTGACATTTTACATTTCTGCCAACAATGAAAGGGTTCCAGTTTCCCCACATCATCGCCAACACTTGTTATTTTCTGTTTTTGTTTTGTTCCATCCTAGTGGGGGTGAAGTGGTATCTCATTGTGGTTCTGATCGCATTTCCTGAATGAGAAATGATGTTAAGCATCTATTCATGTGCTTGTCGGCCATTTGTGTTTCTTCTTTGCATATGTATTTCAAGTATTTGTTGTTTAGAAAACACAAGCTACCTCTTTCTATCCACTCTCTCATGGGTGCCACAGCATTGCAAAGGGAACAACTTTCTCAGTAAATGATTAAAAGTTACTCACTTCTTTGTCAGGTATTGTGTAAAACCATAGACAGGGAACCCCTAGGTGCATTAGTTATGAAAACTCTTGCATTTACGATGAATTAACCTCTAAATATTAGTGGTTTAACTCAATACAAATCCCCTGCATTGTTCTGTGACATTCAAATGGGGTTGTGCCAGGGAGTAGGGGGTATTTGCTCCACTCAGTCCTGCAGGGCACCAGGCTCTTTCCCCCATCTTTAATTCATGGCTCCAGGGATCACTGTGCAAAGGGAAGAGAGGATGATTGCCTTTACCAGGGTGATATAGGGAGTGCTGGGGCTGGGGAGCAGGCCTGGAAGCATCAACATCACTCTGTCTACTTTCCACTGGCCAGACCTCAGTCACATGGACTTAATCGTACTCTAAGGGAGCTGGAAAATGGAGTTTACTTGGGTGCCCAAGAGAAAAAGGGAAAAGGAATCAGTAAATACATAACCAGCATAGACCACACTGATATAGCAGAAAGAGCCCTGGTTAGCATCGCTTCTCTGCTACTTACACACTCCCAGGCCTCAGTTTCTACATGGATGCATGAGGATAATAATACCAACCATGTTACCTCACTGGGTTATCTTCAGGTCCAAATGAAATCCGGGATCTGCTTGCCCATTGAACCTGGAGGAGGTAACTCAGTGGGTCTCAGATAAGGCTGTCACCTTCTTGTGGGAGTGGTTTGGAAAAACATTGAGCACATAGAAGTGGTCATATCTGTGGGCGTTTAGTGGGTGGGGTCAGTGAAGCCAGCTGCACAGAAGGATCCTTCCTTTGATGTTCACCTGTGCCATTGGACATTCATTCAGGTGAATAACCTGTTTTAGTTAACTATCTGAACTTGAAAAAAAACTCAGTTTTGCCTATCAATATAAAGTACCTTTCCCTCTCAGGTTTTGCCTGTGCTGAATGTAGCGGTTTTTACTCCATCATTCACGTGTGCCTTTGCTCTTCCATAGTCCTGGTCTTGGCTACAGACCACCTCATGCTCTGACTTCTCTTCAGTTGACGTTTGTTCAGTACAGGTTGGTATAAGTATTTGGGGACCTCACTCTATTGTCTCCTGCAGCTGTGCCTGAGTGTTGGCTGATTAAATACTCATCTGTTTATTATAAAGCTATCTCCTCTTTTATATAGTTCAGGATTTGTGTTGACATGTTTTGAAATTACATGTGTAGGTAGAGCCTATTTGTGAAATTAATTCCAGGGCAGTAAAAGTATCATTACAAAGAGTAGTTCTGGTGAAGGAGGGCTGGTCTATGGGTTGAGAATTGCTAGACTGGGTCATTGCAGTGTGACCCGCTGCCGCTGTGGTGCCTGGATAGAACTCAGTCACATGGACTCAACCAAACCGTAAACAGGCTGGAAAACGGAGTTTAGTTGGGCACCCAAGAGAAAAGGGAAATGGAATCAGTGAATACATAACCTGCATGGAGCACACTGGTGTAGCAGAAAGAGTGCCCATTACTTATCCACTCTCAGGTCTCAGTTCCTATATTCATAAATGAGGGGTGCTCTTTAAATAGCTGTGGAAGGAGTGAACCGGTAAAAGGACTAGTGTAAAAATTAAGATAGTGTGGCCGGGCACTGTGGCTTATGCCTGTAATCCTAGCACTTTCAGAAGCCGAGGCGGGTGGATCACCTAAGGTCAGGAGTTCAAGACCAGCCTAGCCAATACGGCAAAAACCCATCTCTACTAAAAATACAAAAATTAGCCGGACTGGTGGTGGGCACCTGCAATCTCAGCTATTCAGGAGGCTGAGGCAGGAGAATCGCTTGAACCCGGGGGTCGGAGATTGCAGTGAGCCCAGATTGCACCATCGTACTCCAGCCTACATTGCACTCCAGAGACAGAGTGAGACTCCATCTAAAAAAAAAAAAAAAAATTAAGATAGTACAATAAGAAAATTCCAGAATACAAACAGATTTTTAGATCAGTTTTACAGAGAACATTTTGAACCACGTAAAATAAAAGCTTATTAGGTTGGTGTTCACTTTCCACTTGGAAATCTCACACTTAGTTCTAAGCCAAATCAAAGAGAAGCAGTCTAGATTGCTTTTTCTAGTCTTGTTAGGAAAAAGTTGCAAATATCAAACAAGCCACCATCAAAGGGAGTCCAAACCAAAACAAAAATACATTGAATAAGCCTCTTTTAGTAGGGAATTAATGATTCCACTGTTACCGTTAAAAGAAATGAAAGCAGAATCCCGCCAACTCAGAGAAGTCACATGAGGTGCAAAGCAAAGAAAATAATGTCTTTAGAGAGTTTATGTCCAAGTTGGAGAGCAGGTCATGGAATGCTCCCCTGTTAGAGGTCAAAGTGCAGCTCCATATGCCAAAGTCAATTCATACAGACACTTCACCAGTAGTACTGCCCCAAGGACACAGTCCACTTTTTTTCTGGCCACATTAATTTTTTTATTTTAGTGATTTTATTTTAAAATGTTGAAACACTATATTCATATTGTACTGTCAATCAAAAAGAAAAAGAAAAGAAAAAATGTTGAAAAACATAATAAAGAATATCCAGGATTTTTAAAATCACATAAAGAAATGGAAGTCTGTTTTTCTGCTCCTACCAATTCCAGACTCTAGGGTGAGCCTCTTGTCAAAAAGAAATCATTCAAATAAGAGAAAAGAGTGCCAGGTGCAGTGGCTTGCACTTGTAATCCCGACTACTCAGAGGGTTGAGATGGGAGGATTGACTGAGCTCAGGAGTGGAGACCAGTCCAGGCAATATGGTGAAACCCACCTCTACTAGAAAAAAAAAAAAAAAAAAAAAAAAATTACCCAGGCGTGGCGGTGTATGCCTGTAGTCCCAGCTACTTGAGAAGCTGAGGTGGGAGGATCACCGGAACCCAGGAGGTTGAGGTTGCGGTGAGCTGTGATCGTGACATGACACTCCAGCCTGAGCAACCTTGTCTCAAAAAGAGATTTTTGCCGGGAGCGGT